GAGCTCAGTGGAGCTCAGTAGAGCCTGTTGGAGCTCAGTGGAGCTCATTAGAGCCCGTTGGAGCCCGATAGAGCTTGATAAAGCTTGTTGGAGCTCGATAGAGTCTGTTGGAGCCCGATAGAGCAGCCGTCTTTATTAAACCTTTTTATAAAATTCAAACTTGTATGATTTCATTAGAGAACGTTTCAGTCACGTTACTTCAAAGGATTAACAAATAATTTCAAAATGTTTCCAATCACTGAAATAGTCTCAACACTATGATAGTTTTAAAATGGGGTTCTGTGGAGACAACGTGAGCTGTTAATATCTTACCTGCTGTAGTTGCCTCTTTACCTCAGTTTTGAGAGATGGAGTTTAATTATGACCCGATCGACGAGCTAACGTTTAAGAAAGGCCGAGACCGGAGGGCACCTTAAAAACTGCTCGTCTGTAAAAACCGAGTCCTCAACTGAAAACTTTTACTTTAAACGTAAACAACGTGAACATCAACAACAACGTGAAGGTTTATAGTTTGACTGTAAGTTTTGCTTTGTAGATCTAACCCTCCTGCTGCCCTTGGGTCACAATCGAGGCCTTAGTTTAAAACTCAGGGTCATTTTGACCCAAGGGCAGCAGGAGGGTAAATTCTGTTTCATAGTTTAGATAAAACTGGAAACTGTTGAATTCACAGACACTTTGTCAAACAAACCTGCACCGAAGCTAAAATATTAATTATATTAAATTCTACGATCACAGAAGCTCCTTGTTTCTCTCAGCGACATAAAACTTTCTGCGAGTCGTTGTATTTAATAAAACTTTTTAAAGGTCGACGGGCGCGTTGTTTGAAGGTCAGGACTGTGACGACACGAAGGATTTCTGAAGGGAGGCTCTTTTCTCCGGGACGGCTCGACTCGGCCGACTGATCCGTAATTTTGGTTCCGCTTCTATTAAACGACATTCCAAGACGTCGGCGACCCAAGTCCGAACCGTCTTTACGGAAGTGATGTGTGAAGGTAAACCATTGGTGGTGAGTTCACTGACCTCCGTACGAACCTGCAGCGTCGGCTGAAACTTTCCTGGCCCTAATTGTTACGTTGCTCTCCCTGCTCCGTCCCTCTGGTCGTTTTTATTTTACCGTACGGTGTTTGACGGGTGCTCAGCGTGAACTGCAGGTGAACCTCTGACCACGCTGGGTGTTTTCAGTGTGGGTGGGCCGCCGCCTCTCATTTTCTTTGACCTTCACTGTCGTTCCTCCTCTTCCTCCCTGATCCGCACGCTTCTCCTCCTTTCGGCCACTTCCTGTCTTTTCAACGCTCAGCTTCGGTGATTTACGGCCGCTACTGAAACCTCAACCAGTAACGGACGTTTAAAGAGAAAAAAACACGAGTTTGGCCAAAAACATGAAACAGAAACGAAAATAGATTCAGAGTCTTTCAGCAGAAAACTGCAGCTGAAATTTGTTGTAGCTAAAACTGAGTTATCACATTAAGACATGCTGGACAGAAGCTAACATAAGCAGAACACAAGCTAAAAACTAAAAGCAGCAGAGCAGCTGCTACTAGCTAAAAACAGGAAAACAGCAGCTAAAAGATAACTGAAGCAGAACATAAGCTAAAATTAACAAAACATGCTAAAATATCCACGAGATGCTCGTTTAAATCAGTAAGACAATAATGAAATGAGCTAAACTGTAGCTAAAATATGCAAAACACAGTAAAGTAAAATTATCCAGAAAAAAATGGCAAAAGTAGCTAATAGTAGAAAACAAATACTCAAGCTAAAATATGCTAAAAAGCAGCTAAAAGCTAAAACAATAGCTAAAAGCTAAGAAAAGTAGAACATCTAAAATTGATCAAACATGCTAAAATGGGCAAGAGGTGCTCAAGTTTAAAATAGCAAAACAATGCTAAAATTATCTAAACAGCACCTAAAAAAATGTAAAACACAGTAAAACAAAGAAGTAGCAAATAGCTAAACAAATGCTCAAGCTAAAATGTGTAAAACAGTATCTAAAATTAACAATCAGACGCTAAATGACCAAAACAGTAGCTAAGACAAAAGTAAAAATGGTAGCTAAAGGCTAACAATAACCTAAAGTAGTGAAATGATAGCTAACAGCTACAAAGAGCTAACTCAAAGCTAAAATTAACACGATTGTGAAACTAAATAAAAAAGGTGAACTATCCTTTTAACCACTAAACAAATA